TAGAGGAAAGTCTATAGATGTAAACATTTATATTAAAAAAGAACAATCTCAAGTAAGTAACCTAAACTTACACATGAAGACACTGGAAGAGGAAGAGCAAGTAAAATTTAAAGTAAGCATGGGGCCGGCCCGGTGGCGCACTGCTAAAGTGCGTTGCTTGGGAGCGCGGCGGCGCTCCCACTGAGGGTTCGGATCCCACATACAGACCGGTTCCCGCTCACTGGCTGAGCGAGGGGCGGGTGCAGCACCGAGGGTTGCGATCCCGTTGCCGGTCCTGGTCCGGTACGGGTGCAACACTGAGGGTTGCGGTCCGTTGCTGGACACACAAAAAAGGAAAATATAAAAAATAAAATAAATAAAGTAAGCAGAAGGAAGAAAAGAACCATGGTTGCTGGCTAGCCCATGGCTCACTTGGGAGAGTGTGGTGCGGATAACAACAACGCCAAGTGTTTGGATCCCTATATAAGGATGTCTGGTTAGCTCACTTGGGAGAGCGTGGTTCTGACAACAAGTCAAGGGTAAAGATCCCCTTACCGGTGATCATTTAAAAAAAGAAAAAAGAATCATGGTTGCAGGAGATATCATTGAAACAGATAATGGGAAAAGAAAAAAGAATAGAATACCAAAATTAGGCTCATGAGAGATTAAAGAAACTGATAAATCCTTACCTAGACCAGAGAGAGAGAAAGAGAGAGAAGACAAAAATAACTAAATAAGAAGTTAAAGAGGAGACATTACTACCATCCTCACACATAAAACTATTTAGAGAAGAATAATATGAAGAATGACATGTTAATATATTAGATAATGTACATGAAATGGAAAAATTCCTACAAACAGATTGCAAAAGCGGAGTTAAGAAAAAAATTAATCATCATAATAGACCTAGTACAGGTGAAGTGATTGTATTAACAATGAAAAACCACTACATAACAAGAAAGGATCATGTTCAAAAACTTTAATGATAAATACTAACAAACATTTGGATATTTACCATCAACTGTTCCCAAATTCTCTTGAAGATAACCATTGTAGAGATCCTTTTCCACTCATTGCCGGCATCAGTATTACCATGATACCAAGATTCTACAAAGACATTACAAGGAAAGAAAACTTCATAAGAATGCACCTTATGAGTATAGTAGCAAAATTTGATAAAAATATAAAAGTAAATAGAACCAAGCAACATATAAAAATAATTATATCCCATGTCAATGTTTCATATACCCAGAACTACATATTTGGTTAATAGAAAAAAATTGCATATTATGATACACTATATCAATAAAATAATAAACAAAACCAGACGACAAGTCAATAGATGGACAAAACAAATTTGACAAAATCCAACATCCTTCTATGAAGAAAATATTCAACAAAGTAGGAATAGAAGGGAACATCCTCAAACTGATGAAGAGCATATGAAAAATCCACCGCTCACACTATTTTTAATGGTGAAAGTTAATATGCTTATTTTCTAAGATTAGGAACAAGATAAACAATCCATTCTTGAGACACCTTTTCATCATTGTACTAGACAGAAAAACTGGCAGCAAGTAAATAAAAGGCATCTAGATTGGAGAGAAAGTAAAATTTTCTGTATTTTCAGTTGACATGTTTTTGTATGTAGAAAACCATAAGGAATTAATGAAAAACTGTTAGAGTTCTGAAAAGTAACAAAAGATCAATATACAAATACCAATTGTATTTATGTACACAAAAATAACTAATCAAAATATAAAATTGAAGAAACAATTCTAGTTACAGTAGAATCAAAATAAAATCCATAGAAATAAGTTTAACAATAGAAGTGTATAATTGAACACGTAAAGCTACAATAGATGGCTAATGTGGAAACACTTAGGCATCATCCCTGAGCCTCATCTCCTTGGAGGAGAGAACTTTACCTTCATAGGTGAAGAAAGGGGATTGCATTATTGTTCTTTATGTTAACAGATGTGGACTCAGGGTGAGGTCTGCACATCCAAATGTGTATTACTGTCTCCACTTTTATGGACATGAGGCAGACTTACAAAGAGAGGGAGTGACAAATTGTATCCAAAGTGTGAAAGTTCAGGCAGTGTCTCCTGCCACCCAATCCCTGCCAATCATCCTATGTTTAAAGGATTCCCACATACCATACCAATAATTGTTTAAGAGAGAGGCATGGGATTTAGGAATTCAAGGTTGGGGGCCTATAGATTCTAAAGTGCAAGACAAGTGGGCTGTGGGAAGATCAAGGCTGAGTTCCCTGGATCTGCAATTAGAATCACTGAGGGGAAGTTGAAGAATCAAAGAAAACACAGGAATTTGAACAAGGCATGAAATACATTAGGAAAAGAGAAAACCAAAGATAGGTTTTAGACATGACCACAGCCTCTCACACATCCCATCCACACACCCCCAATGTTCACCCTTCTTTTACTCTGCGCCACATTCTAACACTCAAGCCCAAATCAACTCTGATTACTCAAGCTAGGCATTTTTGCATTTTTTGTGGGTTTTCTTTGTTTGTTTGGTGTCTGGCCAGTAATGGGATCTGAACTCTTGATGTTTGTGTTATCAGCACCATGTTCTCCCAAGTGAGCTAACTAGCCAGCACTAGTTCCTGTTTTAAGAGGAACCTCAACAGCAGAAACTTTGATAAACCCATGTAAAGATCTCTTTGCCTATTTTGATGCAGAAACCATAGAAGAAAAGGTAAAGTTCATGTCCAACACACACGCACAAATACATCCCAAATTACTAAAATTTAATTTAATAAAGGGACAGATGGATTAATGGAACATGGGAATTTCTGGGCAATTAATTATCAGACCCTGCAAGCATAAATTGGCACAAGGATAAGAATCTACCCTGTGACCCTGCTATTTTATTTCACTATACACTAGAGCAGTTTTTCTAACTGTGTAATACAATGCATTGAGACTCACAAATTAGTTTACTTGATGAGAACAAACATTTCTTAATGTTTTGAAAGAAAATTACCCTGTCAATTTTTAAAAACATTTAAAATAAAATGGAGATATGATTTCTTTTCTTCTTTTTTAATTGAATCATAATTGATAATACATATTTTTGGGATTCAGTGTTGACATATGTTGATCAAATCAATATTACTAGTATGTATATTGTTACAAATTGTACTTCTTCTTTATGCCCCTTGTCCAATCCATCCCTATCCCCCTTTCACTCCTCCTTCCCACCACTGATAACCCTAGATATCTTCTCTCCCACTGAAAGAGTAATGGTTTCTTTGTTGATTTGTTGCCTATAGGATCTGTCCAATGCTGAAAGGTGTGTTCAGGTCCCCCCATATTATCACAGAACAGATGCTTCTTTTGTCACTCTGGAATGGGCTTTGTGGAGAGAGACATCCTCTTCTTTTCTTTGGTCTCTGCTGGTGACTCTCCTTGTGTCAATGCACTCCAGTGGCTGGTGGACCATCTCCGTGGTGGTTGTGTTGTCTAATCGCTTTTGTGGCAGCCGTGATTAGTGTGGTGGCTGTGGTGGGCCACCCACATGGAGGTGATATTTTTGGCATGCTCCTTGGCCCTGGTTTTGTGCCTGGTCATTGGCAAGGGGCCTAGTCCCCGGATCCAGGACCTGGGCGCTGGGCAGGGCCTCAAGGCACTGGTGGTGTGCCTGGTTGTGGGTGTGGAGTCTGGTACCTGGCTCCATACCCTGGGTCCCTGGGTGGGCCCCAAGGCTCTGGTGGTGTGCTTGGGCCAGTACTAATTTTTTGTCCTTAGCTTACTTCTAAAATGGTAGAACTTCCTGTGGGAACCAGTACTTGAGCTCTGTGGTTGAGCTAAATTGCTGCTTTGCTGCTGTTTCCCTAGGAGAGGCTTTGTGTGCAGCTCAGGGTTTAATGGTTGACCTTGTAGGTACTTCTGGTGCTCCAGAGACCCAGTGTACTTTCGTTGTGTAGAAACTCTGATCTGGGCCTGTGTCTTTTCATCAAACTGCACCCCCATGCAATTCTGCATTCCTGACCAATCTTCTCTGAGTGGTCCTGTGCTGATTGGGGGATGGTTCGGCTGTCCTTGCTGTGTCTCAGTGTTCTCTCGGTGGGCCCATCTCCCCCAATGCCCATGCTCCAAACACTTTTCATGGGATTGGCCCTGTGCCAGTCCCTTGCAATGACTCACTAGCTTCTGAATGGCTCCCATTTTTCCACTGTTCTGGCTCCTTGCTCCTGCATGGATTCATGGGAGCCCTATTAGTGGTCTTGCTGTCCTGGGGTCCACCAAGGCCCTTTTCTCCCCTGCCACTTCCAAGTATCTCCATCCAAAAGGCACAGTTTAGGCTTCTGCCGGCTCCTGCTCCATGCCCTGAGCAGCTCCAGCCCTAAAGAGGCTGCATCCTGAAACACTATGAGCAGTGTTTTCTTTCTCTCATCATGGCTTCTCCTGTCTTCATGAACTCTGTGGGTATCTCCTCCTCTTCCTCTGAGCTCCAGCAGCCCTAGCTTGGCTGTTGTTACATTTTTATTGTTGTAAATTAGTTGATTTGTGGGAGAGAGTGACACTGAGAACCGTCTATTCCACCATCATGCCCGGAACTCGATTTTTTCATACTTGAAAACGTATGTTTAAAAATAGACATAGGTCTGTAACAGCTATACAGGCCCCCATTTGAATTTCCCCATTACTGCCACAATGTTTCAGGTTGCCAAACCAATGTCTAATAAAAATACAGAATTCCACATCTGTGGAACAGAGACTAGTGTGTTGCCTGGGTAGAAACCAGTCTCGATCGAACAAGGACTGATCTCCCGGGAGCAGTCTTCCGTGCAGGGAAAATTTTAAAAATTTTCTTTTTTGTTTCCTAATGTCGGATCCCAGAGTGTTCTGGGAAACGTAGTGTCACTGACCACTAAGGAACCAGGCACAGGACTACGGAAAACTGTCTTTGTGTGTTTCCTCTGCGCATGTGCATCCTCGCTCACCGCGCTATCTGGGAAATGTAGTTTTGCCTTGCCATGACGTCACCCTCTCAGGACTACCGTGCGACAGGATTTCCAGGTTTCTACTGCGCGTGTGCGGGCCGCAGCACTCCGCCATCTTTTCTGTGGAGATTCTGGAGGCTGCCGAGTTCCCCACGCTGCTCCTTAGATCCTGGGGTTGGATTGTGCGTCTCTGAAGGTAGGTGTGGAGGTGGGGGCCCTGGGGAGTGGACGGGTGTCCCGGCACTTGGCGGGGCGGAAGCGCCGCGGGCCTCGGGCAGGAGGGGCCTGACGTGCGGCGCGAGCGCGGACCAGGGCCGGGGAAGGGGCGCCGGGGTTGCGGTTTTTACGACTGCTCATTCAGAAGACGGCGCTGCTGGAAAGTGGTCGTGGTGCTGCCTAGTGTGCAGAAGCCGGTTCCATGTGTCCCTGAATGGGGGTTCAGGTCCAGGGTGGCCCCGGGTGTGTGGTTGGGGGTGTGTGAAGACCTCGAGCCTGGGAGGTGTGCGGGAGGTCATATTCCACTTCCGCCATCCAGGAACCTGGTGCCGGCCTACAGGACATTGACTTTAACCTTCTGTAACATAAATGTGTTGATATTACTGTAATGCCCCCCAATTCCCAGAAAAATAACTGAGGCGTGTGCAGACGGAGTGTTACTCTGTGGCAGTTGTGTTTGTGGGGTTTCTTGGTGTCTCTTCAGGAGGTCAAGTTTCTGGTCCCTCCTGCCTTGTGTAGCCTGCCTAGCACTCCTGGTCTGAGTTTACAGACCGTGTCAAAAGACGAAGTTTTCAGGAACAGTGTCTTCTAGGAGGGACATTGGGGCATAGGATGAAATTCGGGCTTTCTTTGGGATACAGGAGCTGGGACAGAGTTTGAAGGAGGGCACCCTTTGAATATAAGTAGGAATCTCACTGGGGGAGAACATCGCTGTGGCCTGAACTCTCCCAGGACTGCTTCAGAGCAAAGGCAAAAGAGTCCCAGAAATTCGTAGTTTTCACAACCCATGGAGTTATTCAGTCTAGTGCTTACAGTGCACAGCACTTGGCCAGTAATCTCATTAGGAAGCTATCTGGGACTGAGTGATATTAGAAGGTTTAGGCCAACTTTCAAAAGGGAGCGTGAGTTTGAGAATAGGCAAGGACGTAGGAAATGTTACTGAAGAGGTTTTGAAGGTGTTCTGTGGGTTACAGGAATAAGCCGTCATAGCTGAGAGGATCTGTCTGCAGTGCTCTCTGAACACACTCCCATTCCTTAAATTTTCCCTCATTGTTTCTAGTGACTGAGCTCTCTCAAACCCAGCCTATCACCAATTTTGGCATGTAGACATGCTGATGGTATTATATCTTCATAGTTTCTTTCTGGTAGTTCAGCAATATTTTGCAAGGTATTTCTATCTTGGAAGAAAAGTGAAAATAATTAGCTATGAGGAAATGTGAGTTGCCCGGGGTTACATGATTTGTTGGTGTTAGATATCCTGACTTTTTGCCTATTTTTCTCCATTTTGCCACACTTCCATCAAAACAACTGTTTGTTCACTGTTGAGATTACTTCTGTAATGCTGAAGTCAACTTGGAACAATGTATGCTTTAACATACATTGCCATAAACGTCCCTATCCTTTTTTGATCTCCAGTGCTTTCTGTGGATCATGTCACCACAAAGAATAAATAACATAAGTACTTCCCTTAATGTCAGTATTCTGTTCTGGAAAATCACAAATTTTGCTGATATATATACAGGAGTCAATTTTACATTACTTAAATGGGAAAATGAGAATACTAATGTGCTTCAAAACTTCATGGAGAGAATCCCTATTATATTATATTTCTTTTAATTATATTTTTCCATGAACTTTTGAATGTACCATGGTAGACAACACCAAGTCGAGGGTTAAGATCCCCTTACCGGTCATCTTTTTATAAAAAAAAAAAAATAAATAAAATAAAATAAAATAAAATAAAATATGCAACTTCTACATGATATTAAACAAAACAGAACAACAACAACAAAAAAACCCCAGAAAATCTTATACCATAGTTTACCGATGTTCAAACAATTGCTTTTATGGTTCACATGGCCTGCATTAGTGCCAGGAACCTCAATGAAGTCCTCTTAGTTGACATTCATTGTAATTTTCAAAATTGTCCCTGTGGTTATAAAGGTATGTTGATTGTATTTGAAATGTAATTTAAGGCTTTTCCCTCCACAACATTTTGTTCAAAACATATTGAGTTCTGGGGGCTTAAGTGTATCATTTAGCATTTCCTATATAAGGAAAAACCTAAAGCCTATAGAAGGCTTTAAAAACCTGGCCATTTTATTATGTTGAAGTTCTATGAATCCATATTTTGGGTGTGTTTAGCTGGGCAGTTCAGCTTTAGTCACCTTGTGCCTTGCCTGAGGCTAGTTGGTTCAAGATGGCTTCACTCACATATCTTGTGATTTGTGCTGACTTTTTGCTGGGCCCTGTTTCTCCAAAAGTGTAGCCCCAGGTTTCTTCACACTATGATTGTGTTTAAGAAGGCAAGCACCAGTGGCCATTACTTGTCAAACTTATGTTTGCTGACATATGCTAATGTACTCTTGGTGAAAGCAAGTCATGTAGCAAAGCCCAGTTCTTTGTCACAGCATACTACATGAGGGTTTGGGTGCAGGGAGTTCCGTCAGTGGATAACGTTACTGGAATAGTGTACCAAAAGAAATATACATAATGAACATTTTTTACCTGTATAATCATGGGCAAAAGATGTTGGGTTGCAAGATGCATACTGATCAGATATTTAGGTACATATAAATAAGATTTGTTGTAGTGGAAACACTTATCTGGAGTCATGTGTGGAATCATTACATTAGTATGAAAATAATATAGCCTAACTATATTTCTATGCTATTGGTTTTAGTAATGACACAGTGTGTTTTTCTTTGGTTTAAATGAAGTTTTATTTTAGTTATCGTTGATTCTTGCTAAATCAGTAGGTAACAAGTTTTCATTAACCCAAAAATAAATTGTGTGTCTAATGTGTACCAATTAATGTACTCGCAGATGCACGTTTCATGGGTCTTTGTTGCAACTTATTGACGATAAAGATTGTTGTCTCACAAGGAGGCTTTTTGTTTGTTTGTCTTTTCCAGCTAATGTGTAGAGAGTTTGGGGCAGAAGAATCCAAGGTCAAGCCACAACAGTTCTCTCCTTACTCCATTCCATGCCCTCTGCTCCCAGCTAAGCTGCCTGAGTGCGCTATGCATTTCCAAGAACAAGAAAAGATGGATAAATCTCCAGTGAGTTGTTTATTTATTCCTCATTTTTTCACTGTATTACCTGAGTCTTATGGGGAGCATGAATTAAAATGGAAAAGTAGAAATGAATAAACCTCAGCTTAAAGGAAATGTACATATGTAAGGTCAAGTTTGCATATAGATATCTGTGTCATCTAAGTTGGATAAAAATTTGTCTCTGGTCTTTCTGATGTCATGTCAAAAAGGCAGACACATTTTTACATGATTGGAATGGAACCTGAGAAGAGAATATGCCAAATTCTCAGAGAATATGAGGATTTGTTGGCACTAAATTCCGAAATACCGTCTCTATTAGAAAGTTTTTGACTGCCAACCTGGAAATAAACACATAGCTTTCCACAGTGGAAATGGGTAACGAGTGCTAAGGCACATGTTGGTGAATAAGCAGACTGTAAGGTTTCATGTAATGTAAGACTTTCTCACCCACATAATTTTGTTAAAATATACTGAGTTTTGGGGGCTTACATGTATCATTTAGCATTTGATGTGTAAGAACAAATCAAAATGCAATGGTTTAAAATATCTGGCCATTTTATTTCCTTGAAGTTCTATGATCCACATGTTGGCTGTACTCAGCTGGAGAGTTTTCATGCTAGCATTGCCTGGATGGCAAATGCACCTTCAGTTACTTGGTGCTGTGATTGAGGCTTTTGGTTCAAGATGGCGTCACTTACATGTCCTGTGGATTGTGTACAGGTTTGGAAGTCTGTACATGATTCATGGATAAAACATGAAATTATCACTTAAATTACAGTGAAATGCACTGCCTATTCTCTAGTCTTTTTCTAACTTGAATCTTCTGCCACATTTGAAACTGCTGTTCATGATCTTTTCCTGGAAATTCTTCTGTTTCTCTCATGCCCTTACTGATGGTTTTTTCTCTTTTCTTCTGAATTCTTCTCCTTTCTTCTTCTAAACATCGCTCATCATAGTACTTCATTCTGTGCACTATTCTCACAGTGCTCTTCTTGACAGGTTCAGTCCTCTGTTGTTTGCAGTGTTGGTTCTTTTTAGCTTCTTCCCTTTTCTACTTTCCTTTCCTTGGATCACAGGTTCAGCTCGCTGTTGCCTGCTTTTTGTAGCTATTCAAAAGTTACCTTAAGGTCATTGAATCCAAAATGAAAATGGCGTTTACTTCTTTTATATGTGATATCACTACCATCCAGGCAGTGACCCAAGCCAGTGAAATGGGATGTTTCCTGGACTCTTCCTTGTTTCTTGTGTCTAATCCTCTGTGGTGTCCATTCTTGCTTGTTTCCTTGTTCTTTTCATTTATTCTGATTTCTGTATACACTGCATATATAGGGGAAGGAGGTGTTGCTACTTATAAAGACAATAACTTTGTTCCATTGGAAATATTCTTGTATAAAGCTGAAGGGGATGTTTCCTGGGTGATGAGGTTCAATCCTGGTGACCTGTGCTTCTAAGCAGCACCTGTGGTGACATCCTTAAGACTCTGAGGGGAGAAAGCCTTCAGGAGTTAGTGGGACATTCACAAAGAGCTGATAAAAAGGCATGCAAAGAATAAAAACAGAAATTGCAGATTTTCATAATTTGTACATTTTGCTTCCATAAATTTATGTTGGTGATCCTATCTGTAGTCTGTTTCTTGTTCAAGAAGACATGTCATGTTTTTAAACTTTCTTACATATTGTATTTTATTCTCCTATTTCAGGTAATCACTTAGAAATGAATGAGAAAAATGGATGTGTGCCTTAGTCATCAGTACATTTATAAACTAGAACCGTAGGTAACAGTTGGTTAAAAAAGAAAAGTGACAAACTAGTTAACTGAAGGTTGACATTCTCAGAGTTTGAGATGTAACCTAAGATGTGAAATGCTGGCTTTATTTATTTTGGACCTAATGTTCATTGTGAACCTACATGCTTCCTGTTGCATATCAGAGTATTGCCAGTGGTCTCTAATGACTTGTTTGGTGTTCCAATAATCAGCTGTGTAACAAAGTGACACAATACTTAGTTGTTTAGAATAAGAATTTTTTCCTTACTCCATGTTGGAATGTTGTGGGTAAGTAGTCTGTAAAAGGGCAGTGTGGGGCTGGCCCGGTGGCGCACTGCTACAGTGCGCTGCTTGGGAAGCGCAGCGGCGCTCCCGCCGAGGGTTCGGATCCCACATACAGACCGGCCGCTCACTGGCTGAGCGAGGTGCGGGAGCAACACTGAGGGTTGCGATCCATTGCCGGTCCCGGTCCGGTATGGGCGGGCGCGACACTGAGGGTTGTGATCCGTTGCCGGTCACGAAAAAGACAAAAAGGAAAAAAAAAAAAAAAGGCAGTGTGGTTTGGCTGCTGCATGATGTGTCTGGTCTCACATGGAAGAACACTAGTGGCTGGGGACATTGGGCAGACATCCAGCCCTCTCTTTGGGGCCAGGTTGGCTTCCTCAGAGTCTGGCAGTCTCAGTGTGGTTAGGTTTGTCTGGCTTCTCCCAGGGCAATTGTCCAGGAAGCCCAGGCAGTGGCTGTGAGGCTTCTGGTTATCTCTACTCCGATACAAAGCATGTCTCCTAACACATTTTCTTAGTCAAGCACATCACTAAGAGCAGCCCCGATTCAAGAGGAAGGCAGTTAGATTCCACCTCTCAATAACAGGAATAGTAAGACTTTGCAGCAGTCTTTAATAGACCACAATTTGCTCTCTGGCCACAAGTTTCTACCACATGCAAAATGTACTTTGCCCCTCTCAGGAGCCCTTGAAATCTTCTACTGTTATGCAGTTGACTGAAAGCCCAAGCAAATCATGTCTGGTGATCTGTTATCTTCATCTCAACACGTGGCCAGCTCACATTGAGGAGAATGGCATAAACATGTGGACACTTCCCTTCAGACAGGCTGGGTGGTAAGGGGCAACACTCTGCAGGCGCTGGCCTGAGCTAGCTATGCCCACTGGGCACCTGATTTAGTTCTTTGATCATGGCCCGGTGTTGGACTCTGGAAAAAATGCCTCCTGCTTTTGCACTATGCCCTCTGGGCTCTCTGTCAAAATCCATTTTTCTTAATGCTTGAGTTTGCAGTTGACCAATTTCTTTGCCTATTTTTAGTTTATAATAGTTAAAAATCCAATGACCCTTTACAAATTTTTTCTAATTCTGCCCTTTTGATACAAGAAATTACTTCGTGTACATCTTTAAAAAGCATGACCTTCAATTGTACTATAATCCATTATAACAATGTGTTAGGCTCTTTTTTTTCTGGCCTCCCCTTCTCTCTGAGGCAGCTATTTCTTAAGAAGTTTTATTGTTTATCAGGCACTGTCTTTGTATCACACCCTATGGTACTTACAATACTGGAAATATTTTTTTGTTTTTGTTTTTACAAAACACTGTAATTCTTGCCACAAAGTAGTATGTGTCTTTGAAAGTATTTTGTTGGAAAAAAATTTGGATTAAAAAGTCGTTTTCTTTCAAACTCAGTAAGTTTTGGCTCCTAACATTTTCTTTAAATTTTGTTTGAAATTGAGCATCTTTCTTTGTTTTATTGTTGCTTATTTATTGGTTGATGCATGACCTATGGGGGGTTCCAAACCATTTACCTTGGTGTTATCAAAACCATGCTCAAACCATCTTTGTGGTCTGGTCACCCAACCTTCTTTAATTTAGCTTTCTTCTCATATTTTTTCAGTGGCAAAGAGAGGGTACCAGCTAGCACTTTTCCCATTGTTCACAGAAGACTCCTTCGGCAGACCCCTGAGATGTTGAGATATCCTTTCCATTTTCCATGCTATTGTAGGCAATAGTGTGGCCCACATCCTTCAGTGCTCCATTTATTTCTGGTAGTATATTTTGTGCTGAAGCTTCTTTTGGCTAGTATTAATATTTCCTCTTAAGCTTTTCATAATTAGTGTTTGTGTAGTATTTTTAATTTAACTTTGGTTTTTAACTTTCAGTTTGTGTCTTTGTATTTAAAGTGTATGTCTCTGGATAGTATCATTGGGTCTTACTTTCCTACCAAATCTGATAGTTTTTGCCTCAAATAGAATATTTAGACTAATTCCATTTAATCTTCATATTAAAAGGGGTAGATTTAGGTCTGCCATTTTTCTGTTTTTCATTGTTGTTGTTGTCTCATCTATGTTTTAATCCTTTGCTTTTCCTCTTTTCTTTTCCCTATTTTTTTTTTCAGTTAATCAAATATATATATACATTTTAAAAGATGACCAGTAAGGGGATCTTAACCCTTCACTAGGTGTTGATAGCACCACACTCTCACAAGAGAGCTAACTGGCCATCCCTATATAGGGATCCAAACCCACGGCCTTGGTGTTTTCAGCACCACACTCTCCCAACTGAGCCATGCTGACCCTTAATCAAATATTTTTAAATATTTTAGTTTCTTCCAATTTATTTTCATTTTAGTTTTAGTAAAGAAAAATACTCATAATAAAAAATTTAGCATTTGAGCCATTTTATATTTGCAATGTTGTGCAAGAGATGTCCAGAACTTTTTTGTTTTGGAATACTGAAGCTCTATATCCATTAAAGGACAACCCTCAATTTTCCTCTTCTCTTAGGTTCTGGCATCTGACATTCTAGTTTGGTTTCTCAGAATTTGACTCATATCAGTGGGACCATACAATACTTGTAATTTTGTGAGTGGCTTATTTCGCTTTGCATAACGTCCTCACTGTTCCTTGTTACAGCATATGTCAAGATTACATTTCTTTTTATGTCTGAATAATATTCCTTTCTGTGTATATACCACAATTTGTTTATCCATTTATTCATGGATGGATGTTTGGAATGCTTGCACCACTTCACTGTGTGACTAATTCTGCTATGAACACTGGTGGGGAAATATCTTTTGGAGATTTAGCTATTAATTATTTTGGATATATACATTGAACTTGGACTTCTGGATCACATGGTAATACCATTTAAATTTTTTTTAGAAGCCAATGTATTTTTTTTAATGGTACATGGGCTACACCATTTTATATTGCCACCCACAGCGTACTAAAGTTCCAA